GCACGCCTTTAAATGGAGGCTTTATGTTTAATTCATTTGTTCTTCAGGGACAGTCAGAAGCACTGAGAGCTTGGGGCACCCTTCTCTAACTAGATATATAGACAATACATTAGCTTACACAAGAAAGGGAAAGAACACAGAATAAGGATTAGACACAGTGAAGGTAAGACAGTTGTGTGTTTTCAGCATGAGTACATGGCTCCAGAATGTTCAGTTAAGATTTGTATACTAAAACTGGCCCCATAGAATTATGGTAATCCATAAGAGAAGTAGGAAGAACATTAGAAACAATATGTTCATTCTGATGGGAATAGATGTTAGATGCAGCCCCCAGTCCAGGGGCTCCAAAAGACAGGGTTTCAAGAAACAAAGGCATCCTCATTTTCTAGCAGCTGTAGCACTCCCCTTCAGATCTAAACTCCATATGTGCCTAGTGAATTATGCAATTTCCTGTCTCACATCATCTCATTTCAAAAGACTAAAGTCAAATATCAGCCTTGGGATTTATTAGATGCCTGATCTTAGACAAATATTCTTCAGTGCTGGGTTGCAGGTTTATGAATTATCTGTGAGATGGAGGTAATCAAATGTCACTCTCAAGCCCAGGAGGTTGTCATGAGAAGTGAGTGACAGTGTACAGCTATCTACAAAGCTCTGTACCAAAATAAATCCCCCTATTCTTTCCAGAGGCTCAGAGCTGCAAGTTTTGAACAGAACTCAGGGCACAGAAAGTACAGCCTTGGTAGCCTTTATTCAGGAATTTAGAGGCTGGAAATACTGGGGAATATTCTACAGGCCACAGAGATGGGCAGGCTGAGATTCCTATTTGCAAATCCACACTAATTTGTCATTATTGAGAGAAGTACACCAGTCTGTGGTGGGTTTCCTACAGTTCGTTTTTAATCATGTACCCAACCCTCATAAATTTCCTATTCCCTCACACTCCATCTCCAGCACTAACAGAGATATAAAGGGGCCCACAGGAGCGTTTCTGAGAAATGCCATTTTCAAGAGCTGTACAAAGTGATTTCTTAGAGCCAGCCATATCAGGGAGGCTGTCTTGTGTGTCTGCAGATGGGCTTTCTGACATAACTGTTGAACACAAATACAGAACATAGCTCACGTCTGCTTCCCTCATGCTCTTCCTCCTTCCCAGATATCACCTATAAAAGGTGACATCTGAATGTGCTTTGTCTCTGACACTTGTCAGAGAAAAAATATTTACCTGGTTTCATAGTGAGTTTGAAGGTAGCATGGACTACATGGTGCGCTTAAGACCATAACAGGCTGCATAATAAGACACTATCTCATTATATTTACAAAAAAAAAAAAGTGAAATAGTCAAAAGAAAATGCAGAAAAATATGCATGTTTACCTGTCCAAGGGTTGCTATTGAGATATGGGCTGGCGTACACAAAACCATTATTGCAAAGTCTCAAGCAGGCTGCCCACACAGACCCCAAATCATACTCAGAAATGTGCTAATCCTCTTTTGCGATCAAAGATAAATCTTGCCTTGCTAGTCTTAATAATCCAGTGTTGGAGCTGTGCATTCTGACCCAGGCCCATAATCCTAGCTACTAGGAAGCTGAGGCATTGAAGGGGAGGGAATATAGCTCAGTATTACAATGCATGACTCACATTTGCTAGGCCCTAGGCTAAATCCCCAGAACTGAAACCAAAACAAACAAAACAGCTCTACATGCACTGTGAATCATAGCAAACATTTTCTTAACCAGGCACCCAACAAAGCACACAAAAAAGACAAAACCTAGGGAACAAATCGACATTAAGTGGGTCTTAGGTACTTCATGAAACTGTGATAAGACAACAAGACCAAGGAAGAGTTTATTTGAGGCTTACAGTTTCAGAGTGTTAGAGACCATGGCATCATACCAGGGAGCATGGCATGGTCAGGCAGGCAGGCATGAGACTGGAGTAGTAGCTGAGATCTTACATCCTAGGACACAACTACAAGGCATAGGAGCTAATGGGAATGCTATGGGCATTTAAAACCTCAAAGCCCTCCCCATCGACACATGTCCTCAAACAAGGCCACACCACCTAATCCTTCCCAAACAGTTCTACCAACTGGTGACTAAGAATTCCAACATCTGAGTTTATGGTAGCTATTCTCAACCCATTACAAGCAAGATTTCATGGAAGATTATGCTCTGTGGTAAGTTTCCTGACGAGTATATGTAAGCCTACAAAGGCACAAAAAAAGGGACCCCTACGGTGATGACAAAGGAGGCAGTCTCCCACAATAGCATAGCCTCAGGAAGAGAACAGGAAATGACTTAGCAATGAGAAAGGGGAGACCAGGAAACAGAGTTTAATAGCCAAAAGAAATGGCTTATACAATTGTGGTCTTGCTCTTAAAAGCAATATGGGACTACAGAAAAATGTAAACAATGGACAGGGGTGCCATGGGTGGGCTTGTTTTTTCAGAAAACTGATCCTTGCTATTGTGCAAGAATAGTCTTAGGAGAGGAAATGTGAGCAGAACAAAAGGCAAGAGATGCCAATGTGCAAGTTTTGTGAAAGATCACAAAGCTTGGTTAGGGATGTCATGGCTCAGCTAGGATGTGGGGTTAAACACAGGGAGAGGAAAGACAAACCAATAAAGACAAACTGTTCCATCTGGATCATCAGGAGTAGACTCTATTCCTTTCCTCTCCTCTAGGGCTCAGGGACTCAGGAAAGCCCTGGACTCCATGGAACATCCTGGTCCTTCAACACCATAAAGTTCAAGGATCACATCCCAGGCCATGTGATCAATAGGATCCACGACATGTAGGTACTACATGACCTTGGCGTTCAAAAGGGAGTGGGAAAAGGGTTTTGCTATGTTTCCTGCTGGTCTCTTAGTTCTGGGTTCTAAAAATTCTTCCACTTCAGTTTCCCTAAGACTGGGACTATAGTTTCTAGCTACTATGTCTGAAAGGGCCAAGCATTTTTAAGAACTTGCCATGTTACAGATACTATTTCCTCCCTCAATGGTTGGCTTTACCCTAGCCTATGTGACAAGCAAGTAAGTCAAGGCTCAGGCTCAGTTACACAGCTGTTCCCCTCCCCCTGTGGAAACAAGTATTCTAAATTAAAACTTACACCCATCTCAGGTGTTTTATTTTTGAGACAGAATCTTACCATATAGTTTGGGTTGTCTTTGAGATAGTTATCCCCCTGAACCAGCCTCCTAGTTTTCTGGGATTACAGATCTATGCCACTCCACCTGGCTCTTTTTCTGAACAAGCCATAGGTGGCTTGTTGATTGGGGCAGGGCAGGGAGGAAGTGGAGTGGGAAGTGTGGAGGCAGAGGCAGCCCTCTTGCCAGCTCTGCTCCTCCTCACTGGTTTCATTTCCCCATGGTGTTGCCACTAAGACCCTGGCAGACAAGAGTGGTTTGCTTTTTACTCTAATTAGTACAGCGATTTGCTAAATTTTGTTTTTAAGAGTGTTAATCAATTTTAGTTCCGAATAGATTGGAATGGCACATAAATTACAACAATCCCCAAATGCAAAATTGTGAACATCTTGATCAACCTCAGAGCCTGAAATATGTGAAAATCAGAAACTCTAGCCTGCATCAGCATGATCTATTTAAAATGCTACTACTCTGAGATGCAATTAGAATGGCTTTGTGGTTTTCAGAAGAATCAATTTGCCAGAAATGGCCCCAGGCCTAGGTGTATTATCCTTCCTAAGGTGATTAGAAACAGAGGGACAACATTTTCCTTTGAAGCAGCTAGTTCCTTTAACAAGAGCAGTACAGTAAATCTCCTAGCATGCAGGACACTTACCATGTACAACCTACTATGCGCCAGAAAAAACATACTGTGCATAGAATGAGGGATACCTACCAGCATCACCTATTATGCACTAGAAAAAGCTCTCACCTTCCTACTTCATTAAAGAGATGCTACTAGACTCCAATAGCAGGCTCAGAATTTTATCGCTGACACAATAGTCATTTGCACATTCCATGTTCAATATATATGCAAGTGTTTTACAAAAAATAAAAAAAAGTAGACACACACATACACAAATCTTAGATTGTCTTAAGTAAAATTGTATTTTGTGCTGGGATACATTCATAGTAACCTTTGGCTATATGGAGACTAAGGACCATAGTTAGACATAGAGGTGAGGGACAAATGGATATAAAATTCCTTGTTTATTCTTGGAAAGGGGAAAGAATAGCTATGCCTCTGAGGAATGAGATCTGAAAAGATATTGGGGAGAGTAAAGAGCACAGCCACGCTGAGGAAAAGCCACATATCAGGAGTCCCCAAATATTACATCTAAATGTTAGAGAGAATTCATAGAAATGACCAAAAAAATAGGCAAGAAGCAAAGTCAGGAGCCCAAGGGTATGGTCTCTGATTAAACCACAATCTCAATAATCATGGAGGCAAGGAGGCACTATGGAAAAACTTTAAGCAAAGCAATTAGATGATAACCAGACTTTTATTGGTAAAATCCTCTGAATGTAGTACTAATTCAGCATAATCCTCTTGGGGCATTGTCATATAGTCTTTCATAGAAACTACTATTTATTCTAAGACTCGAGTGTATAGCCTTTCTGTCCCTGAAGAAACAGGCCGGCAAAGGCTGGTGATTGGTTTGTGTCTTGTGGTCAGTAGTTAACAGTGAACAGAGTTATGGCAAGGTCTGTCAGACTCTGAGATCAGCATTCACCTAAGAGTAATAGAATTATGATCTACCACAGACCATGTTCAGATATGTACCGAGGGCACTGAACTTCAGCTTCTTTGGGTTCTGTGGTAGAATCTGTGTTAGCAGACCAGGTTTGCTAATGTGTTGCTTAATGATAAATTCAGCTAAGCACAATTACAACCTGAACATTTCCCACTAGGAGGTCTCTGTCCTTGCTACAGTTCATTTAATTACACCCTACCAAGGCTCCCAGGTGCAGCAGATGGGTGGTGGGGGGGGGGCAGGAAAAACTCTTCAACCTTTCTCCCTCCTTTCAGTACCTTGAGTTCATCAGCATTGTAGAAGTCCACATGCACTGCAGGTACCATCCATGTCTGGAAAAGTGTAGCCAGGATCTGCTCCGCAATAGAATCAGCAATGAGGTGGAAGTGCAGAGGGTTCCGCCTGTGGAAGGGAGAGGAGGATGCCATAGGAGCATTAAAGGCCTTGATTCTAGCTGCAAAGTCACCCCCTACCAAGGAGATACTGTGGGACAGTGTCACAAGCCACTGTGGAAGTAAATCAGGCATGTTGTTCCACAGTGCTGCTCCACAATAAGAAGCTTAGAGCTGCAAGGGAGAGAGGACATTACCCTCAACTTCTGAATTCCAGTGTGGACAACCAAGCACAATAGAAGGCAAAACCCAATTCTCACATCTGTTATCAAGACATCTGTATTCTAAGAATCTTAAAAAGAACATCATTAACAAGTATGCCAATTTTTGCCATCTGCCAACTTGACATGCCAGCATTAATGCAGAAACACAAAGACAGGGGGCCATGCCTAAAACTGGTGTGGGCAGCTGGCCACATACTTCTCCATTAACTCACAGGAAAGTTGTGTTTTCTGCTCGTTCTTTTTTAAAACAAAGCTATGTTTTCATGCTGAAGTCATATGGGACCTCACTAAGGATACTATCTTGTCTCTTTTATTGTAGGTCCAAGGCTTTTATTAACTTAACTTCTACAGTGACCAACCCTTACTGGACAGATTATGACAGCATGACACAGAAACAAAGACTCTGGGGCTTTAGTGGTTTGAATATGAAATGTCTCTGCATTGACTTATATGCCTGAATTCTTTCCCAACTGGTGGTTCTGTTTGGGTAGGTATCGGAACGTTTAGGGAGTGAAGTTTTGCTGAAGTAAGTGACAGAGGCTAAGGTTTTATAGCTTAAGTAAGTGACAGAGGCTAAGTCTGAGGTTTTATAGCTTAAGCTTACATTCTCTTCATGTTTTGCTTCCTGATTGCAGAAATGAACAGCGTGGCCTTGTGCTCTTGCCTTCCACTTCATGATGAAATGTATTCCCTTGAGTTGTAAGCTATAATAACTATTTTTTTCTTAAGTTATTTTTGTTAGGGTATTTTATTACAGCAATGAAACAAGTAACATATACTGAAAACTGGTACTAGAAGAGGGTATATATACTATATGTTTTTGAACTATGAGCCAGAATAAACCCTTTCTTAAATTGCTCTATCTCAAGTCTTTTGTTGCAACATAAAAGTAATCAATATATGGAAAAATGAAAAAGAGTTTTAAATACAGTTCTGCCTCTTCCTGCAGCATTTCTTTCTTGAATTTGATAAATGCTAAACCAGCCTACTCTAGGCTTAAAAGCTATTTTATAGTAAAGACAAACTACGTTCTGTATATTTATCTATCATCTACACCAACTGGGCTTAAGTCTATGAAGCAAGTAAAACATATACCGGAAGGTCAGGGGCTTGGTTAATGACGGCTGTCATGATAAACCCAACCACTGGTGATAACGTGAATATTTTACTCCTTTCTTCATGACTATTTTCTCCTCCAACATATATTTCATTCTACACGTCCTAGGTACTCTCCAAAATTACCTCATAATCCTCTGTTCACTATATGATATGTTAAGATCCGTCCTCCCACATTGATCTAACAAGGATTCTAATGATCTTACCCTGTCCTCCACTTCATTCTTGTGTCTTAATAGTCCTTCCTCCAACTCTGGCTATTTTCTGTTCCATATTACCTACCATGTGACCCTCTCCTGACCCAGGGTCATAAACTCAAGGCGGCCTCCTTCACCATCCTACCTAAAGTAGCCATATCTTTTCCTACCAGGCTACATTCCAAAATCCTCTTTGGTTCCATCCTCACACTAGGCAGCGGTGCTAATCTCCATTCTCAGATTCAGCTATTTCTTCTCCCTCTTGGATGATATAAGTCGTCTGAGGCAAAGCTTTCATGTTTTCACAAGCCACTTTCTTGTTTCCTCTTACCACCTTAGTGGTGGTTGCAAAGTGGATGGCCTATTGTAGCTCCAGAAATGCACCATGCTCTTCTACAAGCTTCTGTTTACACTGGCATCTCTCACTGGACCATCAGCACTTCTACAATCGCTGCCTCCTGCCATCTGCTCCAAAGATAGGATGATGATTGAGGAAGCTACTCATGTTTATAGAGTATAGAGTTGCAACGCTCTATACCTTACCGCATTAAACTCCATTTTGTCAATGATGATCAGAATTTTTTCATAGGTCCTTTCTTACACAAAGAATTACCTTGCCGTTGTTTAATGAAAAAAATAAGTGGATCATCAAAGACCAAGATGATCTGAATTCCATCGCAATTTGCCAGAACTAACTAGAATGTAAGCAAAGAAGTATTTTGAAGGATGTGGAGGAGGGACTTCTTCAACACTGGGTTGTGTTATTAGTTTATGAAACTAGAGTTTAGTTGCTTTGATTAGGCAGTTACATGGCAGTCCTATGGTAGATCACGAGTTAATTACACAACACATGTGAAGCCTGCATTTATAAGAAATGTTAAGTATGAGTCTTTTCTATCAAATACTTGAACCTTGTGTTTAAGACAAGGAACTAGGAGTTGGGGTAGATAAAACAAAAACAAACAAATAAACAAAAAACCCTAAGAGTTTTTGTTTCAAATCTTTTAACATAACTATCCCTAAAATATGGGACAATCTTTACTTACACAAAGGCCTGGGCTTCAACCTAGGAACTTCAAGGCCTGGAATGGAAGCCCTTTTCCCCATGAAGAAGTGATTCCTTTTCCTTCCTGCTTCATTTCCTGTGTACCAATTCTTTTATGACTGGCCAACTGAATGAGAGTGAGGACTTCAAATCTTGAGTTGGAATAAATACCAAGTGCACATCTTGTCAGTGTGCTTGTTCATTGGAGAACACATTCTGGATCAACAACAGTAAAGTTTTACCTTGTCCAGAGTGGTGGTCTCTTTCTTTGTGACCCCAAACTTATTTCCTGTAATTCTGCTCTTATTGATAGAACATGTATAGGGTATGTGAACTCCTCACTGCCACTGATGTGCTAAAAATATCCAGTCTCAATAAAGACTACCTCAATCTTTATCTTGTTCCTGCAGTAACATCTGTGCGGCAGGGCATCAAAAAAGTTTTCCTATCTCTCAGGAGTTCTTTCTCACTTTTCCTTAACAAATGTACACTTGCTCTGCTTAACCTTGTCCTTCCTTGCTTCTTGTATTTCCTTATTCTTCTTAGGCATGAGACCATGAACTCTGGCAATATTGCCTTTGGTTGTCTTTCATGACCACTGACTGATCTTCAGATACCCTGGCTCTCCAAGGTGACCTCTCAAATAGCCAAGAAAGACTATATGGTATTGTAAAAAAAAAAAAAAAAAAAAAAAAGCACACATCACTTAGATTTGGCATCTAAAGCAGAGAGAGGTGGGGGGGAAGATAAATATCACTTTCAGATCCAAAGAAATGTTCTCCCAGGAGCACCCCAAAGCCCAACACCACATGGAATAATTCTGTCTTGCTGAAGTCAAAAAAAGAAAGAAAAATAAATAGAACTTTTGTGCTTGAAAGGACATAAACAAAGTGAAAAACATTATTCAGAGTAGAAGAAAAATATCTGCAAGTCAGTAACTGATGAGGGCTTTGTTAGGATGATAAAGATCTTTTACAACTCAAACAGAAAAAAGACAAGTAAGCCAATTAAAAATCCTGGAAAAGCTATGAATAGACATTTCTCAAGAAAGATTTACAAACGGTCAATAAGCACACGAAAAGACATGGAATCTCATTAATGCCCAAGGAAATTCAAGATGTAAAAACACAATGAGATAGCTCTGCACACCCACTGAAATGCTTAAAATAAAAACACTAACAACAGCTTGGCTGGGGAGAACTCTGAACCACTAACCATTACTGACAGAATTTGGAAATTTCTAAAAAAAAAAAAAAAAAAAAAAAAAAGAATTAAATAAAAGTAAAATTACCACATAAATGCCATTTATACTCAGCAAATTCCTCTCCTAGTTACATGCAAAAAGTGTGTGTGTGTCTATATGTATTCATATCGTTGCCTGTGGTCTAGAAAATAACTCTCCACTGAGCCTAATCAAACTCATTGGGTTATAAAGGGTAGGGGGTGGGAGGATTGGGGGTGGAGGTGGGAGGGTGATGAGGTGAGGCACTGAGGAGTTTGGTTTTTGTTTTTGCTGTTTTTCTTTTTTCTTTTGTTTTTAAGCAGTGGGGCTTTTCCTGACTCTTGGTGAGCTGAACTCAAGGGGCTAGTATAAGGAATAGACTCTTCTTTTAGGTGAAGCCATGCCCTGGCCTTCTTCCTTAAGAGTTAAGACAATCAAGGAGGTCAGGGGCCTGGCCTATGTATCATGCCTATGCGGGTGGGTAGAGCCTAAGATAATGCCATTTTCTTTCTCCCACTTGCCTCCTAGTGTAGCCCCTATGCCCTGCCATTAGGAATCGTTTGGCTGGGTCTGCTTGTTAGAAACAGGCACTCACTGTCAGGAAAGCAGCCCCAGAAGCCATGGCACCAGCCTGAGCATACCTTTACAGGTCCCCACAGCCTGCTCCCTTGCTTTCTGTCTGTCTCTCTCTCTCTCTCATGTCCCTGCTCCAAGGAGACCTTTTGCTCTCCACCCCCAATCAATTTGTAGCATGAGAACTGTTGCACGGAGTGATCTCTGCAGCATTACTTAGCTCTGATCTACCCAGACCCCAGCATTGCTTGCCTTTCTGAATACTGATTCAGTAAGGTATCATTTCTTTTTCTTTTCTTCTGTCATTTTCTTTCAGGTACTGGCCAGCTAGTGCTTGTGCTAAGCATGCTTTTAACCTAATTAATGCTTTGGACTTTCTTATGCTTTTTCTAAAGCTCTACTCCTGACACATGGCTCACTGAAGCCATAGGAATGTCCTTTAAACCAGTTTATCTTAACTAGTCTCCCACTTCAAGAAGCTGCAAGATTTACAGCTTGCCTGGCTTGGGGTTTTCCTTTAAGCTACAATAAACTGTCCTCAAGCTTCCACTGAAGTTCACTGTTTGTCCTTGAGCTTCGGTTTATGCTGGTTTTTAAATTCTTTTATTACTGAGACTAAGGACACCAAGAGGG